TGCACCTGACCCCGAGGACTGGTGGAGCTACAAGGATAATCTCCAAGGAAACTTCGTGCCAGGTGCAGCCAGGGCGGGGCCCAGGAATCGGGGCTGCCGGGTGCCTCCTTCCTCAAACCCAGGAGCCCTCTCCTCCTCTCAGGACCCAGGAGTCCCGGCCCCTTCCTTCCTTCTTCCCTCCCTCGGGAGTAGGGCCCAGCCTCTGAACCCCAGCAGCTCACCGTGGGACATTATATATGCGCATTTCAAGTAGTGAGTGGGAGTGAGTGGAAGGAGGAGTGTGGGGGTGCAAGAGACAGTGTGTGTGTGGGTTTGCAGGGAAAAAGGCAGGTAGGTCTGGCTGCTGCTGGGAACCAGAGGTTCACTGGCCGGGTCCCCTGCTGTGTCCAGCCCTCTCCTGCAACTCCTCTCCCCAGTACATTCATTATCCAGCTGTGGGACAAGAGAGACTGAAAGAACTACAACTCCCATGGGCTCTGGGGCAGGCAGGCAGTGGATGAGTAGGCTGGCTGCCCTCCGGCCTGCTGGGAGTTGTAGTTCCTTCCCCCAACGACTTAATGGCAGATAGGTTTGATTAAGGGGGGTGCTAGATGGTCTTTGGAAACTCCTCCAAGATTGTTCTAGGACCCAGGATTCTGGCTCAGCCCCCTCCTCCCTCAGACCCAGGAGTCCCCGTTCCCTGCCCTTCCTCTCCTGGGATCCGGGAGTCCAAAACACAGCCTTCTCAGCGGATCCCAGCTTTGGGATGCAGTCCCTATTTCTGACTCCCTATCCTCCCTGCCCCACCCCACCCGCCTCCAGGGCCTCCCTTCTGGGGCCTGGTGAATGCAGCCTGGAGTCTGTGTGCTGTGGGGAAGCGGCAGAGCCCCGTGGATGTGGAGCTGAAGAGGGTCCTTTATGACCCCTTTCTGCCCCCACTGAGACTCAGCACTGGGGGAGAGAAGGTAAGGGGCCTGGTGGGAGGGGTTACCGAATCCTCTGGGGGTGGGCATGAGTAGGGGTGGGGTGCTGAGGTGGAAGGCCTGCCTGGGGTAGGGAGGGGTAGGCACTGGGTGGAAAGGAGGCTCCTTACACTCTAAAATGGATCACCTGTTCTTCCATCCCCAAACATGGCTCCCTAGTTTTTCCATGTCTATAAAAGCAATGGTAACACAGACTGTTCCCCACGCCAGGCACGGTTTTAAAAGCTTGATCAGCTTGCTAATCCTCCCAGCCACCCCTTGAGATAGATGCTATTATTCCCCTTATTTTAAGGATGCAGAAACTCAGGCACAGAGAGATTGAGTTACTTGTCTGAGGTCACACAGCTAGAGTGTCAGCACTGGGATTCAAACCCAGGCAGTGTGGTCCTAGCTCCAGGCTCTTGCCCACTCTGCAATCCCATTTCTTTTTTAAGATTTTATTTATTTATTTGACAGAGAGAGAGACAACGAGAGAGGGAACACAAGCAGGGGGAGTGGGAGAGGGAGAAGCAGGCTTCCCGATGAGCAGGGAGCCCGATGCGATGCGGGGCTCGATCCCAGGACCCCGGGACCATGACCCGAGCCAAAGGCAGACACTTAACGGCTAAGCCACCCAGGCGCCCCGTGCAATCCCATTTCTTATAAGAGCTGGCATCCCTCTTCACTCAGCTGCCCCTGCCAAAAGCCAGGAGCTATTTCCAACCCGTTCTCGCCCTCATTCCCATGTCCAGTCTGGGTCCTTTTTAGTCTCCCTGCTAAATATCATTCAGATCTTGTCACTTTGTGTCTCCTCCACTGCCCCCACCATCATCTTGCACCTGGACTAGTGCCGTAGCCTGCTAGCTGGCCTGGTTCTCTGCCTACTGCAATCCGTTCTCCACCCCACAGCTAGAGAGATGTTTAAAAACACAAAGCAGATCATACCACTCCCCTGCTCAAAATCTTTCTATTGAGATAAGTAATACTAACACTTAAACAGCAAGGTGTGAGATACATATATATGTATTTATTTATAATTATTTAAATAAAAATACAAAACATCCCATCATTGCCCACAAGGCCCTGCCATCTAGCTCCTATCACCTCTCCTTTGCTCACCAGGCGCTGGTCCCACTGGCCCCTGCACTAGCACGGAAACAGGCTACCTCAGGGCCTTTGCACTTGTTGTTTCCTCTTTCCAGAATGCCCTTCTCCCTGCTCTTTGCAACGAATTCCTACTTATCCTTTAGGTCTCCATTCAAATGTCACTTTCTCATGAAGGCCTTTCCTCATCCCACCACCCCCCACCCCAATCTAGGCTGGATTTCCCATTTTACCTGAGAGCTCCCAGTTCTTTCCCACATGAGCATAAGATGTAATTAATTAAGCAGTTACTTATGTGATTCATTATTTATTGTCTGCCTCTGCTCCATTAGGACACGAGTTCCATGAGGCCCAGGGTTTTTGTCTACTTGTTCATTGCTCCCTTCCTGGCATCCATAGTACATAGTAGCAGCTCAATAAATATTTGTTAGTTGAATAAATTCACCGATATTGAGCACCGGTGTTCCAACTATGCTGAATGATTAAATGATTGATGGAAGCAGAAAATGTAGGAGTGGAACATAGGAGGGAAACGACTTTCCCTCTTTGTCCCTCTGACGGCTTCCACCTCTCCTGCAGCTCCGGGGAACGCTGTACAACACCGGCCGCCATGTCTCCTTCCTACCTGCACCCCGGCCCGTGGTCAATGTGTCTGGGGGTCCCCTCCTCTATAGCCACCGGCTTAGTGAACTGCGACTGCTATTTGGAGCACGGGATGGAGCTGGCTCTGAACACCAGATCAACCACCAGGGCTTCTCTGCTGAGGTGGTGGCCACTGACCTCTGACCCTTGACCTTCACCCTGAGTTGACCCAATTCCTCCCCCCTCACCTTTCTCTTAATGCCTCACCCCACCCTCCTTCACAGAACTGCCCCCCCCAAGCACTAATCTTTAACCTGACTTGGGACCCCAAGGGCCCAGGGCTGCACCCTTTCTCTCCCTCCCCTTCTGCTGGGGGACCCCATTCTGTGCTCCCCTCCCAGGTGCAGCTCATCCACTTCAACCAAGAACTCTACGGGAACCTCAGCGCCGCCTCCCGGGGCCCCAATGGCCTGGCCATCCTCAGCCTCTTTGTCAATGTGAGCCCAGGCAAGATTCGGAGGGAGGGAGGGGCTGGGTGCCTGGAATTGGGTCTGGGGAAGAGGGAGTCTGGGAGGCTGAGACTCCTGGGTCCCTGGGGGAGGAAGGGACTGGGGGCTCGGACTTCTGGATTCCTACCTCCTCACCTCGTACCCCCACACAGGTGGCTGGCAGCTCGAACCCCTTCCTCAGCCGCCTCCTTAACCGTGACACCATCACCCGCATCTCCTACAAGAGTAAGTCGCTGGTGCATTGATGGTGGCGGCGGCGGGGGGAGCAGTGTGTGCAAAGGAGGGAAGTTCAAGAGGGGTACTGCTCCTCACTCTAGCCTGATATTCCCGCAGATGATGCCTACTTTCTTCAAGACCTGAGCCTGGAGCTCCTGTTCCCCGAATCCTTTGGCTTCATCACTTATCAGGGCTCTCTCAGCACCCCGCCCTGCTCAGAGACTGTCACCTGGATCCTCATTGACCGGGCCCTCAATATCACCTCCCTCCAGGTGACCCTCTGTCTGCCCCCTCCACCCTTGCTAACCCATTCCCTGGCCTGGGCATCCCCCTTGGCCTCACCTACCCTCCTTCCTCCTTCCACGTCTGACTGCTAGCAGGTCACACAACCTTTGGGGGTGGGCTGGGGCCGAGTAAGACCCCGCCCACCTGCTCCAGGAGCAGGGCTTCCTCTGTGACCATTCACCAGGACAGTTTATTATTCACTCTCAGTTTCCCACCCCCTTCCGTGGCAGATGCACTCCCTGAGACTCCTGAGCCAGAATCCTCCGTCCCAGATCTTCCAGAGCCTCAGCGGTAACGGCCGGCCCCTGCAGCCCTTGGCCCATAGGGCCTTGAGGGGCAACAGGGACCCCCGGCACCCCGAGAGGCGCTGCCGAGGCCCCAACTACCGCCTGCATGGTATGGTCCAGTCTGCACCCCCTCCACACGTCTTGGTCTAACCCGCCTATGTGTCTCCCCTTCTTTTCTCAATATGATACAGTCCTACCCACCCCTTTGCTGTCTCTGTATGGTCCAGCCTCCTAAGCTCGTACTCGCTCGTTCTCTCTTCTAAGTATGTGTCACATGGTACAGTCCACCTCCACGCCACAGACCATTGCTGGTCCGTGATTTGTCTTTCCTTTTCACTGCTTGCAACTTGCTCTATAACCCGAGCTCCCTGGCTTCCCACCGGGCCGTGGTTTCTATTACGACGACTTTCCAAAATGGTACAGCCCGGATCCCTTCCCTGTTTTCCATGTGGTACAATCTCATGTTGTTCCGTAATCTGACACACACCCCCTTCCTGAAAATCAACATGGTACAATCCCCTTCCCTTTCTAAAGCCTTCCTGTGGTTCGACCCTGTGAGCTCACGGCCACCTCTCTAGCTTCTCAGCATGGTTTGCCTTCCCCCCCGCCCCAATGAATACCTTCACCTAGTTCAGTCTGATGCTGAAGCTGGACGTCCCTATTCCACCCTCCTGCTGGTTAAACCCAGTGCCGGTCCAGAATCTGACTGTTTCCCCAGCTTCTCGACCTGGTACATGCCGGGTTCCCCCTTCGCAGCCTCCTTGTGGTAGAGCCCTACAAGGCCCAGCCCCCGCCCTCTGCAAACCCTCTGCAGGGTCCAACCTGTCGCGCCCTAAACTAACGCTCCCCCGCCGGTGTCGTCTGTCTTACAGTGGATGGTGCCCCCCATGGTCGCTGAGACTCCCCACTGAGGACTACGCCTGTCCTTTCCAAGTCTCCCCACACGGGGAGGGGAGTCACCCCCAAAACAAAGCTATTAAAGGGACAGAATACTTCCGGTTTCTTAGTGGTCTGATTCTAGGCGCGGCGGGGAAACATTTGGGTACCGAAGAACAGCAGCCTTCTTCTAGAAACCAATCTCCCTCTTCCTAAACCGCACTGCTCGGTTTTTTGGCTTCCTGTTTCCCAAAACCGTCGTTTAGATTGGCGGCTCCTTTAAGCGGCGCCTCTTTCACTCCCCCCAACTCACCCTCCCCATCGGGCAGCACGCGCAGAGCCATGTGCTTCCCCCTCCCGCCTGCCTCATTGGCCCGAACTGGGTCACGGTCCCGCCCCCAGTGCCGTCTCCCATTGGGCAAATGTAGGTCAGGGTCCCGCCTCCCACCTAAAGGCACGGCAACTTCACGCACTGAACCCCTCACGCGCCCTCCCGGGCCTTGGCGGATCCAGGGGTCCCATTGGCCGTGCGTCTCGAGGGGTCAAGACGCGATTGGCCCGCGCTTTCAGCCGGAGGGAGGCACGCGGCTGGGGTGCTTGGCCCAAGAGGCAGGCGGGGGCCGAGAGGAGGGGTGCGCGCAGTGGCGTCGGGTGTTTTGGTTTGGCTTTTTTTTTTTTTCCGCGAAAGAAGTTTGCGTTGGCCACGCCTCAAGGCGGCCGCCTCCTCTTACCCCCTCCCCCGCCCCTCCGCGCACACCTCTTGGTGCAGATTGCAAAGCGCCTTCCGCTGAGAGAGCTGCAGATTTTGCAAGATCCAGGCTCGCCCACCTTGTAGAAGGAGCGCCTTGTGTCCCCTTGAACTCTGGGTTGCAAAGAGCCGGCTGCCTGATTTGATCAGCCCCTCACTCGGACTGCATGGTCTCCAGGGACCCTCGTGAGTTGCACGTTTCTGCACTGAGGACTGCAAATCTCCGTCACTCCTAGGATTTGCGGTGATCTGGATACTGGAGGCTTGCAAGCTACGCTCGCCCGCCCCTGGGCAGGCACTCGCCCGGACCACTGGAGTGTGCCGCTGACTGGCAGGCCAGCTCTTCGCCTCTCCATGAGCCCGTGAGCCTGCGGGCAGGTGGCCGGTGATGGCGCGGCCCGTGAGCGACAGGACCCCGGCCCCCCTGCTGCTGGGTGGCCCAGCCGGGGCCCCCCCTGGCGGGGGAGCGCTGCTTGGGCTGCGGAGCCTTCTGCAGGGGACCAGCAAACCCAAAGAGCCAGCCAGCTGTGAGTTCTAGCCCCCATCTATCCCAACCCAGACACCCTACTCCCTTAGGGATTCAAGTGCTGGGGCGGGGGGGGGGCTATCTCCTACGTGCCGAGAGAGTCCATCCTCCAACCGTCATCTACCGAATTACTAAGGTGTTTAGGCCCCTAGATCCCTCAGCACCCAGGATCCAAAAGTACCGGCGCTCAAGCCCGTCCACCAGGAGGACCCAGGAGTCCCCCAGAGTCGTCCTCTCCGAGGACCCAAGAGTCTGGACCCCAGCCCCCGCTTCCTTTGGTCCTGAGAGTCTGGACCCCTGGGGTCCAGGGAGGAGGGAGGGGGTGTGTCGGATGCTCACACGGTAGTGACACGGGCTTGGGCGGGGCCTCCTGGGGTCACATGGAGTCTAGGGATGAGGAATGTGCCCCAGGAATAGAGCCCCTTCCTGCCCCTAACAGAGTGTGGGGGTGGGGAGAAGAGGCTACAGTGAGCAGGGGGATAGGCTACAGAGAAATTACAGAACTGTCATTTTTTTCCCTCTCACCAACCTCTCTCTGAACTTCCGTCCCCCTTCTGTATCTCTATCCCTTCCCTGATTTGTGTCCTATCCCTCCCTGGGTCCCTATCCTCCCCTCTTTCTGAGTCTCTGTCCCTCTCTCGGTCTCTGTCCCCCTCTCTCTGTCTCTGCCGCCCCCGTCTGTGCCTTCTCTCTCTGGGTCTCTTTCCCTCTCTTGAGTCTCTGTCTCTTCTCTTTGGGTCCTTGCCTTCTCTCCTGTCTCCCCCCCCCCCCCCCCGCGCCTGTCCCCTCTTTCTCTGGATCTCCGCCCTGTGGGTCTCTATCTCCCCTTTCTTCGTGTATCTCTGTCTCGGGGTCCTTTCTCCATCTCTTCCTTCCCACCCCGCCCGGTCTTTCCTTGGCCCGCAGGTCTCCTGAAGGAAAAGGAGCGCAAGGCGGCTCCGCCGGCAGCCACGGTCCCCGGGCCTGGCCTGGAGACGGCGGGCCCGGCGGATGCCCCAGCTGGGGCTGTGGTGGGCGGCGGGTCCCCGCGGGGGCGCCCGGGGGCCGCGCCTGGCCCGGGTCTGTTGGCGCCGCTGCTGTGGGAGCGGACGCTGCCGTTCGGCGACGTGGAGTACGTGGACCTGGACGCCTTCTTGCTGGAGCACGGGCTCCCGCCCAGCCCGCCGCCCCCTGGCGGCCCGTCACCGGCGCCCTCGCCCGTGCGCACGCCCGCACCCTCCCCGGGGCCCGGTTCCTGCGGCTCAGCTTCCCCTCGTTCCTCCCCGGGGCACGCCCCCACCCGGGCTGC